GGGGGGGGTCACTCCACTGGAGTTTTCTGAATAATATTAACACCAATAGTTATTCAATTGCTGTGCACACCTCATATTAAATTTGTTGGAAATACTTGTTTTGTTTTAGTAACTATACTTAGTATTTTCAACTCAATATTACACATAGTTATATCTTGTATAATACTATAAGGATTTAAAAAAATTATTTTTGAAATCTTCAATAAGTGAATTTATACAGATTTCATTTTTTTTTTAATTACCTATAATAACATCGAAAATATAATATAAATATTTGGCGTGTGTTAACTAAACTTAGTTGGATATGGAATATTTTCTTGATATGCTTATACAAAATCTGTACCTTTTAAACCATATGATTTTATCAGAAATCATAATTATACAAAAATATATGAATAATTAATAAACATCGCTGTAACTTTTATATTAATTTAAAATCAAAATCATACCTTTTTTTTAAATAAATGATTTTTACAAGTATATATTCTAATTTTTAGTGTGTATATATCTAATCCCTTATATAATACTAAGTAGTACTGAACTGTAAGTATAAAACGCACTAAGGATTGACAAACCAGTCCCATTATCAAACCATATTGATTCCATTTTCATTATTCTGTATAAAAAATAATGCATAGGTCYATTATATTAAGAATTTTATTTTTTATATAATTCCAATGAAAATATACCAAATGGAATCAATTAGTAGTCTCCAATTAGAAGGCGGCACTTTTCACTGCACAAATTATATACACTTTGTGTTATATTATGTTAACAGTTTAGTGCTTAGTAGCACTTAATATTGATATTTTAAATTAATTGTTGTAATTATATTATTATAAAAGTTAAGTACAAGAATATAGATTATAATTTATTTATTTTTATAAATTAAATGAATATGGTTATTTATTTGTTAAAACTTAATATATGTTTGACATAATTACTTGTAGCCTGTTGGTAAGAATTGGGATGTTACTAAATTAGTTGAAAATATTAATTTTGAATATTGTACTATTATTTACCTACTTCATCAATTTTAATAAAGGTATAATATTTTATAAGAATTATTATGAATATTAATAGTATTTGATTCATGAAAAATTAAAACTATGGATTTTTTAAATACAAAATTTYAATAAATAAAAGTATTCAGGTAAATAAAATATTTGTTCTCCTTGGAATCATATCATAGTAATAAACACCAAAACTCATATTTGGTGTTTATATATCTATTGGAAAAATTAATAGATGTAKTTTTTGATTATTCTTGAAAAATTTTTACTTATTTTTCAGAATATTTATAAAAATATAATAAAGAAGTTAAAACTTTTTCAAAAACACTAAGTTTTTGATTTTATTAAAGTTTTCGAGTATAAAAATTAAATGATTATACAGACAAAAATTGTGTCGATAGTTTTTGTTATTTTTTTTTTTTTTTTGCTAGTCTTAATATTTTTTAGTATTTTTGAATGGTTATTATAAAGTATTCAAGCCTCTTTTAATAATCATAATTGTTATATGTCCTGAACCCTGTTTTACTAACTCTATTTACAAAAACAATTGTTTTATTTATCTTTATTTTTAAAAAAAGTTTAAAACTAAATTATCCTTTGTATTTTTCTATACTTTTTATAGAAAAGTAATTTAAGAAAAATGTTTTTATGAAAACTTGTTTTGTAGGTAATTTATTTTAAAAATTCTTAATCTTTTTTCTTCTATCAACATTTATCTATTATTGTGGTAGATTAATAGATAAACTATGGGTTAAGTATCAATACATAATGAGTATTAGGTTTATTTACATTGTAGTACATGTGCAAGAATTTTAATTTTACTTAGATTATTTTATTATAATGCAAAATATTAAATTATTAATACAAATATTCTAAAATCTCACATATTRTTTAGGTGGAGAATATAGATTAAATAGATCTGAAGATGCATTTCAAGAGTTGAATAAAAAATCTATGGCTTTAAAAAGAATATTAAGCCGCATACCAGATGAAATCAATGATCGTAAAACCTTTTTGGAAACAATTAAGTAAGTTATCAAAAATTTGAAGTTTTATAGTTTTAGTACTATTACATAAGTAATAATAAATATATTAAATGATATGTGGAAACTCTTAAATAACTTAGTTCAGCCCAATACTTGGAAGAAACACATTCAGAGGAACTTGTTTCAATTATTTTGTTGAATTTTTAGATACTTCTTAGAAACTTAGTTTTGTTAATTTTGTAGTGAAACATAAATGATTTTATTTATTGTTGTTTTTTTTTTTGTTTAGATGTTCTAAAATATAAGGAATTTAAATATTTTTTATGCCATAAGTTTTTAGAATTTTTTTAGAAATGTTGTCAATTATATAATGAGTTATGTTATATGTTTAATGTTTACAAAAATCACAAATAAAATATTTTTAAAACAAAACTACTACCTATTTAAACATTTATTGCTATATATTGTATCAATACAATTTTTAAATGTTGTTACAATTATAGGCTAATAAACACAAGATGTTGAAGCCTTTAAACTTACAATAAAACAAATAATAAAAATTCATATTATTAAAGAACAAAAAAATATTCTTTATTTAGATTGAGAAAATGAACTAATTACTTTCTTTTAGCCAGGAACGAGAAATTATTTAGTTCCATTTCAACAAAATGAACAGTAGCTTCTCAATTTCTACTACTGATAAAATGGTGACATTAATTTTTTGCAAACATAATTTATTTGTWCTTTTTATTGTTTATTTTGTGTAGATTAAAGTCTTATGTGTTAGATTACCTATAAATTATAATATATTCATATATAGAGAGACTTTCACACAACATGAATATGTTTTAAAATCACAGAAATAATTAGTGACTGATCAATGTTAATTTTGCTGTTTTTGATTGTATGAAGCTGATATGAAAAAAATGTATTAATATTTGTCTTTTATAAAATCTATTTATTAAAACACAATTCATTTCAGGGCTGTTAAAAAAAATAGAAGCATAAAAACAGAATTATTCACTTTATATTTTTTATTAGTGATTTGAATAGCTAAGTAAAAAACCTTTTTTTAACATAAATATATTTTTAGACTGGTGACAGTTATTATTTTCTGACCAATTTTCATAACACTTTTAACATTTACTTTTGTTACAATGATAACCCTTCCCAAAAAACTTATATTTTATTATTCAATGATTTTCTTTTCAGAAGAAAAATATTAAGTTGTCTTCTGMATATTGCAAATAAGAATCATTCTTTTTTATGTATGATATTACTAGTGTCAAAGAGGGTTTACAAATACTTAACTACACATAATTTAATACACATAACAATTAAATATCTCAATTAACATTAAATATTTTACTTAGAGTATGTACAATATCTTACTCTTTGGTTCATTTGTTAGTTTACTTTTTTCACTCACGTTATGTTTTATATTTGCTGAACAACTAATTAAAAAATCTATTTAAATCTTAGAATTATTATATTAAGTTTTTTAAGTTATTATCTTATACTAAATAATATTATTTTTTGTTAACTAAATTTGTTGATATTCACTAATATATTAAGATATTACATTATTKTATTCATGATTACAGAGAGATAGCTAGTGCTATAAAAAAATTACTTGATGCAGTGAATGAAGTATCTGCATATATTCCAGGGCCTAGTAACAAACAAGCATTAGAACAGAGAAAACGCGAGTTTGTGAAGTATTCCAAACGGTTCAGTAATACACTAAAAGATTACTTCAAAGAAGGACAGTAAGTAAATTTGATGTTTATTTACCAAACATAAATCTAATCTTACAACATCTAAAAATATAGTATCTGTTATATTTTTTGACAGTTTAGTCTTATTAAATATTAGTTAGGTAAGATTTATTTTTAAAACTAACAATGTATACACACGATTTTGTTGATTTCTATTATTAATTAGTATTTTTCATATCTATATTTCTAACTAATATAGTTGTAGACTTTAATTTACTTCATGACTTAATATTATAGATTTCATTTCTACTACTCTATTTTTAGAACTAACTATATGGCCTAGTCAGTTGTGGAGTACAACGCCAGGATTACTAGTAAATTCAACACTACATTTTTGACCTCAGTGAGCAATCTATAGTATTTATAATCAATGGTTTTAGATATTTGCTCACTAATCTAACTTAACAAATTTTAATTCATGTACCTAATACTCAATTTAACTTATAGTTGAATTTTTTTTTTTTTTTGGTGATTACCAGCTTAAAAATTTAAGAATTTTGTTGATTAATAAAACAAGATCAACAAAATACTTTTTTAACAATTAAGTATAAATCAATTTTTACTAAACTGGTATCATTAAAAAAATTGTGTCCCCTATTGTTGGCCATTTTACAATTCATTCATAAACTTCTGGTTAAAATGTATTTATTTAGTAATTATTGAAAATAATAGATTTCTACAATTTAGGGACATGTTATACATAGATTACGATAAATATGATAAAATTGCATATTTCATGTACCTCTATCAAAATACTGTAATACCTACTTTCTAAACATTTATTAAAATGATTATTATACTATTCTATACATTTTGTTAGTAACAAGAATTATATATTTTACATTTATATTAGAATAAT